ATATAATGGATGCGAGCCTTCTCATGAGCGCCGACTATGTTCAGCCTCTGATGACATCGGAACTAAAATATCTTGTAGAGAACGTTTTTAGTCCAAGCGGAGTATTATGGTTGCGACATGCTGCAGCAAAGAAGTATCTGGGATGGAGAAATACCACACCATCGCGCCCTCGTCATTTATACAGGCCATTGAGTCTCCCTGGTCCGACGTCATCTTTTCCGAGCCGACCATCAGAAAATCCGATTAGTCCACGTTCCTCCCTAGCACTCGCCCGTCTTAATGACCGACAACTGGCCCATAACCCACCCCAAATGCATGTGGCGGACTGGGCCATCGATCTTCAGCGTAGTCTAGCCAGCGAGCGAGCCCAGTACGAATCACTTGCTCGAGGAGAACGTGCTATTTGGCTTACAGAGAGATTAAACGAATGTGTACAAGATGGCACACTCGTAGCCCTGGATAAGCCCCAAGGTACAGGTTCGGTAGGGGTAAGAAGACCATCCAAACGTAGGCCTTCAACAAAGACGGTACCACACCAAGATCCACTAGGATTACTTCAAGTGGCAGCAGAGTTCAGAGCGAAAGGATGGGCTGCTTTAGAGATTATAGGTAGCCTCAGTATCATTGGAGGATTAGCATTTTGGATCTCAAGGCAGCCTTGGCACACGGATCCTTTCGAACTCGCTCTTGCGGACGAGTGGATGAGGCGTTGGGGTATGGACATTTAATATACCAGTATTTGTACATTTTGTACACGATAGTTTGGGATGGTCACTCTACTCACAACAAACATTAGGTAGCATCGGTCTTACCGAATAAACCCAGCTTTAATTTGAGTAGAGAGTTTTTAATTTGAGTAGAGAGTCTTTAATTTGAGTAGAGTTGCAGATTGAACTTTAAGCTTTTGCGTAGATTGGACGATTGTATAGAACCAAGGATAATGCTTACATGAGATGATAGAAAAGAATATAGCTCTTTGTTTTTGAAAGGATCTATTTTGGGGTGTATGTCTTTTATTATGATGCTTTGATAAGAATAATAAAGCAATTTTATTTCATGTGTGCTAAATTTGACTTGATATTACCTAAGGTACGTACAATACATAAGGTACATTTAGGTACTTCTGATTCAATTGAGGTCCCGTCTTGCGTCGTTACGTGCCTACCTCCTACCTACATATGTAAAGAACGACTCTTTGATAAGCGCGCGGTATGTATACCTATCGATAAATGATAAACAGCAACAGATTAGTTCCCGAGGAAAGTACGACGCACCTAAGTACTACCCAGGTACGTAAATAGTAGGTTTTATATTTTCTTTGTCTCCATTTCCTCGCCATCATTCATTCCAACAAACATCAATTCTTCTTACGCGTATCTCATAAACTTTGGTACTCGTACTTTTTCCTTTCTTACACTTATTCGCGCGAGTCACTGCCTGTTCCTCAAGCCCAGTCGCTTTGCGGCATTTGCCTGGGCTTACAAGTAACAAGTACCCCGAATTCCACCGACGATACCCCAGAGGCAATGTGATTGTTTCTCGAAGCGACACTTTCGATGCTGTTTGTCACAGACGAGACCAACTTAGATCCTTTCAACTTCCTGCCTCCGCGCAGCATTATTCTACCTTCTTTTACTTATTTAATTCATTCTAGATCCGGATAATTTCCTTTCCTGATATTTTATTAAGCATCATCCTTCGATATCTTCTTAACAAGCCACAATGGCGACTTCTGAACAGACCTGGGGCATCACCCCTCCGATTTCAGTCGCCCTTCCCACTCCGGCCGAGACACAGTCTACGCATCTTCTCTTAGAAGAATTGCGACGGCAAAATACGTTTGAATCCGCAGCCGAAACCAAGAAGAGGTAAGATGGGTAGCTAGCTCGTGGTGAAACTTGTCTGTCAATCACAACTAACAAATCCATTCTACTAGAGAGAAGGTCCTGGCCGACCTTCAGCGTATCGCTGACGAGTTCGTGAGACGAGTAGCAAAGGAGAAGGAACCGCAAAATGAAGTTCTTATCCGCGATGCTCGCGGCGAGGTCTTCACGTACGGAAGTTTCTGTCTAGGCGTCTACGGTCCCGGCTCTGATATTGATACCCTCGTCACTGCTCCCCGATACGTTACTCGCGATGATTATTTCAAACACTTCCCTTCTTTACTACAAGAGATGGCCCCCGAGGGTGCAGTGACAGATCTCACTGCTGTAGAAGATGCATTTGTACCTATCATCAAGTTCGAATATTGGGGGATCAGTATTGATCTGATCTTCTCAAGAATAGCCACGTTGAAGCAGTTCCCACCACATGGCCAACTCAATCTGAACAACAATGAATACCTACGTGGTTTAGATGATCGTGAGCTCCGCTCCCTTAACGGAACCAGAGTCACGAGAGAGATTTTGAACCTGGTCCCGGAGCAGAGCACCTTTCGCCTTGCCCTTCGAGCCATCAAGTTATGGGCAACACGTCGCGCTATCTACGCCAACATTATCGGATTTCCAGGTGGAGTAGTGTGGGCTATGATGGTGGCACGGGTTTGCCAACTCTATCCCAAGGCAGCGAGTGCTACCATCGTTTCCAAATTCTTTCAGATCATGAAAGTCTGGCAGTGGCCCATACCTGTACAGCTGAAGCACATGGACGACGGGCCGCTCAATGTCCGTGTCTGGAATCCCAAGGTCGGTATCTATTCACATCAGCAAATTAGAAGTTTCACTTGGTTAACTAGTCGCAGATATATAAGAGTGACAGTTATCACCTGATGCCTGTAATCACCCCTGCTTATCCTCAGATGTGTGCAACTTTCAACATCACACATTCTACCATGGCCATCATACAGCGCGAGCTCGAACGCGGCGCTGATCTCACCGACAAGATAAGAGCCGGAAAGCTTGCGTGGAAAGATCTTTTTGTAAAGCACACGTTCTTTACTGCGGACCACAAGTATTACTTGGCCGTCATTGCGACTAGTACTACCAAGGAGGCCCACAAGATATGGTCTGGGTTCGTAGAGTCAAAAGTCCGTGTTTTAGTAGGTGATTTGGAACGACATGCTTCTGTTGCGATTGCGCGCCCGTTCAACAAAGGATACGAAAGGGTGCACAAGGTCAAGAACGACCAAGAAACTGAAGAGGTTCGAAATGGAAACCTGACTTACCGTGTCCAAGGTGATGATAGTGAAGATGACACCAAGGTGAAGAAAGAGAATGGCGTTGAAGATGACACTAAGGTGAAGAAGGAGAATGGTGTTGAAGTCAAGGCTGAGGACAAGACAGAACAGAATCCCGCGGTAAAAGTTGAGAATAGCGAATCAATGAGCTTTGATATCAAGTCCGACCCTGAGGACCAGAAGATTGATATGGAGAGCATTCCTAATGCAGCCCCCCGCGAAACGAAAATATACACCACGACGCATTACGTAGGCCTCGAGCTTGCTGAAGGTGAGTGCCCCTTTACTTCATCCTGTTTTTGTATGCATATTCTATGTGGCTTTTCGAGCCAGCGAACGCTCCGCTGTGATTCCTAACCTAAGCTTAATGACATGTTAGGCGCGAAATCATTGGATCTGTCTTTCCAGGTCAACACATTTAAGGATCTGTGCAGTCAATGGGAGAAGTACGAGCCAAGCTTGAACTACCTCAGTATACAACACGTGAAGAAGTAAGTGCATTATCGCAACGGTATATTACAATCATTGACCCCAAATTCGCAGTACAAATCTTCCCGACGACGTTTTCGAGCCTGGAGAAGTCAAGCCAGCCCGTCCCCGCCCTGTTAGAAAGATAGTTGCAAACGGCGATGCCACAGCCGGCCAAAAGAAGCGCAACGCCTCGTCCGAAGTATGTAGAGATACATGGTAGATGGCCAATATCGTGACCACCGCCAGGATATCCGAGGAGGCCCTTGTACCCTTATGGAGCTCACTAACACACACTTTAGGGGAACCCGCCACCTGCGAAACGACCACAGCCTGCCTTGAAAACTCCTGCCGCTGTCGTGGGCTGAGTATTAGCCAATTATCCGTACCACATTCTCCGACAGCACCAGATTATACCTTGACTATGCTCATTCCGAATCTCCTAAGGTGCCGACTGATCTGCTGCAGTTGCCACTAACTTGTATTAAATACTAACATAACAGTGCCCGAGGACGGTCACTTTACAACATTGTGTGAGTGCGGCTACGACAACACGAATATTGGCCTCCTTGCCATAGGCGAACCAGCCAAACAGTAACAGGGGCCACAGAATACTAATGCCCGCGAAAGACGAATCAGTAGCTGCGGCCTTGCTTTGTGAAGAGTGCTACAACACTCATTTTCCTTCTTTTTTTTTCTACGAGTGTGCAAACTATACGAACCCTAGTGGATGGAGAAATCGGCGACGAAGCTTTCTAGGCTTGATGTGAGGGGGAATATATTAATACGGCCCGTCCCGTTTTCGCCATGATATCCCCTGTTTAATTACGTGCCTTGGCTTTATCTAGGAAGAGAGAAAGCTGAATTCGCATAACACTGATCTGACATATGGCATTGAGTCGGAAGGAGATAAGACTTTGGCCTACAGTGTATTTAGAGGCGTTTGCAGATAAATAAAACTTGGTTAGGAGGCACAAGTGCCTCGAAGCAATCATATTAACCACACAATTATCGCGTCCCATTGTAAAGAGAGAGCATCAATACCTTGATCGCAACTGTCTTGCCCATTTGGAGGCCATGTTGAGTACCTTATTATGTCAACAAGGCAAGGATTATGAATAAGAGGCGTAATTAAAATTATCATCATCTACTGTACAGGAAGACTTGAAGTTTCTGAATATAATGATCGCGTCGCTCCCAGAGGTACCTCCATAGGTATGCTTCAGGGTCATAGATGATAGGCGTTCAAATTAGCGACTTAACTGTCTTAGGTACATAGGCTAGTTAGCCACTGTACGACAAGTTACTACAGTCTACGCACAGGCACACAAAACTAGATCATTAGGGAAGTTTAAACTGCAGCAAAATTCTCTTTATTGGATAGCCAAGCTTGAGCTATAGATCAGGCCATGCCAATGCGCGCCCGTCCTTCGTAATAACCTACGTGTCTCCTACCGCACCTATTATGTACAGGATATGCCGACCTTCCCCTATCTTCCCCGGTGTCGTGGCAGTGGTACCAGTTGACGTCTCACATCAAAAAAATTTCCCCTTCTCTCCCCTTCCCTAGGCATGGATATGCGAACACTTATCGAATCGCATCGTCGAACAAGAAATAATTTCCATACCGAAAACACCTCGACTCGTCCGTAACGCCGTGCCGGCCATTGATGATGAACTTTTTCTCTACTCGTTGCCGCCTTCTAGAAAACATGATACGTTGAAGTTAAACGCCATCTTCATTCGTAACTCTTTGCTTGCCTGTTCGCGTGTCTATGTACCGGGAATCAATTAATGAATGCGTAAAAATAAGGCAATTTTGATATGGTTCAGTAGCCGAAGGATAGGAAGATATTGGCATTAGCCCCGGCTCTTCCTTTGGCCCTTGCGACCCTTCGTCTTTGGCGGTGGGGGGGGCTCGCTATGGAGGTGCCCGAACTCCTCAATGGCAACATTGTTGGTCCAGTTGAGGCAACGGAACTGCGTAGGCTCGGGACTGGCCTGAGTCTTTCGGGTCGTCATTCGTTTAGGCTCGTCCTTCTTCCCATTCTCTTTTACCACCTCCTTGGTCTCTTCCTCGTCTTCTTGGCAGAGATATTGGGCTCGGCTCTTCATATGCGTTACAATCTTGTCCTTGTAAGCCAAAATCTCCTTTCGCAATTTAGACTCATTGAACCCTCGAGGATCGAGCCAGTTCAGAAGCGAGTCAACCTCACTAGGTTCCGAGTAAAAGCCCCATTGGTAAGCATTAAAGACGCTGGTACGACCTTCTTCCATCTTTTTCCTCTGTGGAACCGTCATCTTAAATTTCGCCTTGTACTCTTCCTGATGCTCTGGGGGCATGTCGATGTATCCTTCTCGTTCCATCTCATCGGGGCCCTGGACCCAGATACAACCATTCGCATAGCCTGCATGGGCTGTTGAGCTAGTAGGTAATCCAGCATATGGCATGCCGTTACGCTCAAACCAATAGTAACGATTCCAAAATCGATCCTTCCCCAGAGGCCGGGTTCGAAAACAATCTGCTTCTCGAAGGTCATTATCCAAGATGCTGATTTCGTTCTCGCACTTCTTAACCAAATTTTCCCTTTTCTGGATATCCTTTTGCAGCTTCAGAAATTGCTTAGATTGCTTCGGCACTTTGGCAGCTAGCTCGGCTTCCTTCTTCCGTTCCTCTTCTTCGCGTTTACGCTGACGTTCTGCTGCACGATTACCACCTCGTCGAGTATTGTGGCGAGTATTAGCGTCTATATCACTGTCTTCGGCCTCGCTCTGCTCTTCAGGCGAATCGTCAGCATCCGTCATCTTCACATCGCCATTAGTCTTTGTCTCAGCTTCCTCTGCTGGCGGCGACGGAGGCATATTCTCCGGGAGGAGGATTTTGTGCTGATCGTAGAAGCCCTTCAGTTCCTCGTTGCTGTAGAAATGGTCAGTATATTAAACCCTGAGATAAGCTGGACTCCCACTCACGCTGCTTTCTTTGTCTTTTGCCATTCGATCTTTTCCTTCCTGTAGCCCGTCTGAGTCTCGGCACATTCCTCTATGTATGCACGGACAGCTTTGGTGCTAACAGTTAGCAGACAGATAATCTCAAGAGCCGAAACGCGGAGATTGAAATCAAGTTTGCTGTATTGTTGACGGACAGTCTCCTGGCTCGGGTCGATATCGGGAGGTACGAGGCTGGCTAGCACCTCTTCACAAGCTTCAGTCTGCCAAGGCCTTTTAGACAGCCGGTGTAGAATTCCAACCATAATCAACTCCCAGCCACCATCTTGGAATTCACGTCTCTTGAGCTGCTCGACCCAGTCAAAGTTTGCTAACGCCTCGGGGGCGCGATGTTTAATTTCGGGCTCCGGAGTCTTCTCGGCAGCAGCAGCCTCAGCCTTAATCCTTTCCGCTTCTAACTTGGCTAAACTACTTCTAGTAGCACGTCCTGTTGGCTTTGGTTCGGGCTCGGGTTCAGGACTAGCGGGTTCGCTATCCTCGTCTTCGTCGTCCTCCTCCTCCTCGTCATCAAGCTCCGGAAGATCCACCAGTAGCTTGCCACCGTCGGCTTCAGAGCTCACTACCTGCTTAAGGACCGCACAATGGATCTCGGTAAATAGCTGACAAGGAGTATCTTCCTTGGTGATCTCTACCGCCTCAACAAAATCGTCAAAAGTAAACGAGTCCAATTTGAAGACCTCGCAGTAGACATTCAACGTTACCCATGTCTCCAGTAGTGGCCCGATAGATTTCATCAGAATCTTGTCATTTCGTGCAACACTGTCAACAACACCCTCGGGAGGGTCGCTACACATGAACTTCAGTGCCGGTCGAACATAATCGTCGCGGGGCTCCAGCTGCAGATCCTCAATGGGATACTTTGGAGGCGGTGGGGGAGGTGGTGGTAGTTCTGGCTGAGGTTGAGCAGGTGGCGGAGCCATGCTGTTTCTGAATGGCACGGGAAACTGAAAAGGCACATTTCCGAGCGCCTGAGGATGCGGTCCCTGATTTTGAGAGAGGTACATATTGACGTCATTGTGGACATCCATATCCTGGTGATGTGGTGACTGGCTATGGTGAGTCTTGATGGCCTTGTGGCTCTTAGGCGCAGGCTTGAGCTCAGGTAATCGAGCCGGGCCGAAGCTCTGAAAAGCACTGCCCATACCATTCATATCCTGTACTCCATTGTTTGGCTGCGACGCCTTCTTCTGGGCTTGGTGCTGCTTTCGCTCTAGCAGCTTGTTGTCGTACCGCAGGTGAGGTGGTACTCGGGTATCGATATGGTACTGCGCAGCTACATCGTGCTTAACTAACCAAGGTGCGCCAGTCCATGCTTCTCGAGTCACCGTCTTCTTAATAAAAGATCGCAACACTGACTTGGTGAAAATCTTTCTGTCGCGGTAGACATGATCGCCGTCCATAACAGCTTCCTCACCGGGCCTACCGTCAATACTGATCATGTAGCGTGAAAAGGGCTGCGTGAGTGTTCCGTCTGGTAGGACTTTGCTTCCTAAACGAGCTTTGTCCCTAACAGTTCCTGCTACTCGCTCCCCATTCACTAGCTGCACCATGACTGATTCTCCAGGATAATAATCAGCTTTGAACTCGTCGTAGATTGTATCTACCAACGTGTCAATGCGTGAAATCGTCTGAAACTGAACACGGCGCAAAACAGGGGCCTTGAGAGCTTCGGGGAATGCCTGGTCAACTTCTTGTGCACCAGCAAGCTATACTACTAGTTAGAGGCATGAGATACATGTGCAACGAAATCTTCAATGAACCCACCTCGCTCTTAAGAGCCTCAAAGAAAGATAGACCAGAGTGACCAGTGATCTGACAAATAAACCGAGGCTGAATACGACATACATATATGTTAGTCAACTGCTAAGGGGGCAAGCAAAGTACAATCAGGACACCGACCTGGTTATAAAAGTCCATACTAGTTAAGAATAAGTTAGTATAATTAACGTTAGATTAGTCTAAGTTTAGGGAACTTACCGGTTAAGGTAGTCTTCGTAGGTGATAAATACCTCCCCTGTTTGGGGGATGTGCCAGACCTGAGAGGCGTCAGTTGGGGGGTGTGCAGATGTGTGAAACCTGAGGATGTATGCTACCTCTATGGACTCATCTTCAAGCTGTGGGGTTTGCAGAAACTGCACCGGCTTGCGCTTGAATAGGACCTGTAAAAGTTCAGCTCTCATGTCTTCCGGTATGTGATTGTGTGTGTAATCATAACTTACCATTGTGCCTATCGGCTCTTGAAAAGCCAGAGGTTGTTAACTAGCCGCACAATGAATCCTGCAAGGCTGAAAGTCAGCCTTCTGTCCCGGGTTGCGCATATAAGTTGATATTCCAGGGCGATAGCGTAAACGTAATTATATAATTATGAATGGTGGAAGCTGCTTTTCTAATGTGTTGTTGTGAAATTGGTGTGATGGCAAAGTGTGGTCACGGTGCGGGAAGGTGCAAGGTTGAGAGATCGAGGGTAGGGTTGATAAAGCGGGCGTGGGCATGGGCATAGGCGGACTTACATGTGAACTTATCAAATATAGTAGGAACGCGGTTGAAATTGTACGAGACGCGTCAAGGTAGTCTTGGACAGCCCGGTGCGTTGAACCAAATGGTGGTTGCAGGCGACGAAAAAAGACTGGATTGCGGACGCGACGGGATTAGTTGTTGTTTTGTAAAAGATTTGTAGAAGGGGAGGAGAGGAGAGGACTAAAAATAATAAGGCAAAGGGCAAGGAGGAAGAAGGGAAACGCTACCTCAGGTACCTTATGTACGGCAGGCGGGAAGCAAGAGCCAGACCCCGGGAGACGGGGGTTAAGCCACTCAACCTTGTTTTCTTATTGGCTTAACCTAGCTCCGCAGGTGGGTCCCTTTCGCTTATTTGGGATGGGCCTCAAAGTCGTGTCCACCTTGAATAACCACTCCTACCTACCCCATCGTCACTCTTTGCTCCCTACGGTCCCAGAATGCAAACATTCGACAACATTCTTATACTCGTTCGGATCGCCTATTCTGGACAATTCGAACGAGTACGGAATCTGCCACTTTTAACCATGTATTCGTAAAATACCTACGATATAAAAACAACCTAGAGTCCCAGGTCTAATATAGGGCCAGCTAATGTCAAATTCCCTCGATCTCGGTCGTCATCCTCGAAAGCACTTTTCAAGCCAACCACATGTCGGAACAGGGCTATGAATACCTCAAATTAAAGCCCATCCTCTATTATACCTAATTGATAAATTATGTATTTTTATAGCCAATATTGCTCCAAGTGCGGCTATATATCAACGTTAGGCCTTCTTAACAACCTACTCATCTAATCCATGTATAGGCCCTTATGCAACTAAAGTGGCAATTCTTTAGGCAGTCTCTAGCATTTTCCGCGCATTATTTTCCGCTCTTGATGAAACCGATATCATGTGTCAATTAAGACGTCCTTGTTTGGATAGCCGGGACGTTCTTTGAGATTCGTAGGCCGTCGGTGAGACTGGGCCTTAGCAAGCCTGTCAGGGAATTTTAGTCACCACACCTATGTACAATACACGTATGGTTGGCACCAAGCAGCCCACAACCCCCCCTGGGTACCTACGTAGGGAGAGCTAGTCACCTGTCCTGCTTAAAACCTAACCGAGATTCCCGACCAATGCCTATTATTCAAACCACATTTCATTTTCAGAACGTCCAAACCATGTCATGGGAGAACAATTGTAAAACTCTATATTTACTCCAGTTGAACCTTAGTAACATTAAAGATGTAAAACTCTGAAATATTATTGACTAGTCTACGAGGCGAAATATACCACCATAAACCCTATCCAACTGCCAACAACCCCTATTGCTGAATACGAACTCATGAACATCAGTGGCAGAAATTCATAGCTCTTGCCAAACATGATTCGATGCAGCAGTGAGCAGTATACAATCAGCGGTATGCTAACCGTGATATAGAGAATAGTAAACCGGTCAAAGAGGAAGAATCTTGGTCTACTCGAAGCCGGAGCAGTGCGATCAAACACCATCAGAAATAGAACCAACCAGAATATGGTATAAACCGTCTTGATTGGAAATTCGGCAGGAGTAAATAGCAGCGGGAATAGCGAGACATGGCCGGATACCGCCAAGGGACGGAACGCACTAAGATGCCGTCGGTCCTTGAGAGCGATCAAGCTGAAGGGAATAATGACGAGGAGAATGGCTTTTTCATGAACATGCCATCCAAAGAGGAACGACGAGTAGCCACAGAGAGTGACTGCTCCAATGAAAGCATCCCAGTTAGGACGAGAAAAGAGCTTCACGAGGGGTATGATTTGAAATAGGAGAGTGAGCGCAAAGCATATCCTGGGTGTAATCTCCGGAAGTACTGCAAAAGCTGTATCCCCAACTAGACCTCTCGTAACGCTATTAATAGCCTCCGATTTTACCGGTAGTCCTAGCCGTGGCGCAACTAGGTAGCATCATCAGTTACTAAACCCTATAGTTATAGAGAGAGGGTGCTACTTACCAAATATCAATACTCGATCCGCAAAGGAATACATAGCCCATACGTTTGGGGCCCAGTATGCATGACAGAGCCCACGGGAGAATGGGAATAGCCTGCTTAGGATCTGAGGAATCTGGTTCTTGAGTGCGAATGGCCCGAACGCTAGTCCGAAGATGCCGATGATACCGGATCCTAGCTTTAAGCAGTTAAGGAACTGGATACGAAATATGGACTTGGGTGAGAGGCAGTAGGTTCTAAGAAGGTAAACGAAGTAAGCTGGCGCAAGATACAGATATATATGCTTCATGCATAACAATGCTGCGAATAGGATGCCACTAGCTAGGAGGCCTGTCTTTTGACGGGCCAAGACCAAGGATAAGATCAGGATGCCGTACATAGCCCCATTATACTGAAAGTGAATGTGATCTATGATGAGAAGGCCGGGGGAGAGGAGAACAGAGATTGCAGCAGCTTGAGCTGCACGCTTCGTCACCCCATGCGAAGAGTCGACATATCTACGAGGTTTATGTTAGTGCAAGAAGCCAAACAGCGATACGGTTAAGACATACAATTGCAGAGCGTATATCAGAATCAACTCAGTAGCGATGACCGTAAATCTCTGGAAGTAAACAGTTTGCCAACTATCATAGCCTAGATTGTAAACCCGAAGCATGGCCGGGTCAGCCAGCTTTGCTACCTGAGACATAATCCATTCGAAATAGGCGAAGAACGGAGGATAGTCTAAGGTCCATTCAGAAGTCTTTTCGTAATACCATTCCCATATTGGTAGGCTATTCGTGATAGCTAACCAGTTCCTATGCACTTCAAAATCGGTAGATTTGCTTCGAGAAGTTTAGCTGTTGAGTTTTCTGTGGAGTGAAAATGTGGGAGTTGGTACAACAACAAGAAGAAGCACTTACTAGGCCGGGAATAGGAGGATCTTGAACGCGGTTGCAACTATTGCGCATTGCGCAAGAGTAGGATATGTCTCAGTCATTTGGGTTTGGATTCATGACATGCCTCGATATTTTCTAAATTCTAGCTAGGGCTTGGCGTTGTCTGGTAATCCTTTCACCTTTCACGATGCAAAAGAGAGGAGATGGCGTTGTAGCGCTGGAGCTTAGTTGAAGAATTGAAGTCAATTGAGGCTAGGATGACAAGCTCCACAGGATCGGTACGTATTTTTACCGACGTGCGACATCCTTCGAAAATCTACCTAAACTGAAGTCGAAAAGGCAGGGGTCCGTGCATCCCTTTTTAGTTGATCTGTTATTCCACGCCTTCCACGCATTCCTTGCCTGCCACACCCACATACCCTTTCCAGCTGCCGCCTCGCCTGCCCTTGTCGGCTACGTACTGTGTAAAACATGAAACAGGGATCAAGTACCGAGTACACACTTGCTGCGACGTTAGGACGTTAGCGCGAAAGAGGTACTCAGGTACCAATTGTTTCAAGCCTCCAAGTTCAATTAGCCTAGACTAAAAGGAATACGGGATACAGCTACACTTGCTCCTTTCTGGGGGAAGGCTATGAAGGTTTGAACTATCCACACTTCCAGTGCACAATCTGTCTTTATTTTATTTTTATTTTTTTAGAGTTTTCGTCCCCCCTTAAATCAATTTCATGGATTGCCTTTAACTTGCCTAAGAGCGATATTTATCAGTGCTTCTGTTTGGTCCAACAGGCAATCTTTTTTTTAATTCTTTTTTTTTCCATTCCCATTGCTAGGCACTTAAGCTCCCCGCCTCTTTTGAGCTCAGGCTCAGATTAGGACAGCTTTGGTGCAAAGTGTCCTTACGAAGGCCACGGACTACCTAGCTTTGTTCACTTCGTGTATTCTCCCACCCCCTACCAAAAAGGCTAATTTCTCAATAATCTCCTTAATATACCTATTGCATTTGCCGGGAAAATCTTCTGTCTTATTAATTCTATTTCAAATTTCAAACTTCAAATTGAAGCATGCGTTTGTTACGATCGTCAACCTTTGCCTTTGGGCTTGTTACGACCGCGAAATTCGCTGATGCACAGGCGCAATTCCTTGTCAATGAGCTAAGCTTCGGTTACACTGGCAGGTGAGTTCTCAGGGAGAAGATCAAAGAACATCTTGTAGCGAATAAAAAGTCTGACAGAAGCCCTCCAGAATAAATGATCGAGGGCAAGCAACTGTGCCAGGCTTTTCCATACAGGGCACGCCAGACGTACCTGAAGTCCTTTCCAACAAGTTGATCCTTACGCCGCCAGCACCCGGTAATACTCGAGGCGCGATATGGGCAGACCAACCGAACAGGTATTCGACGTGGGTGGCCGATGTGGATTTCAGAGTGAATGGGCAAGAGAGGGGTAGTGGAAATCTCAACATCTGGCTTGCAAGACGAGGTAACCAAGAAATTGGCTCGTCTAGTGTCTACACGGTCAACAGGTTTGACGGCTTGGCCCTTGTGATTGACCAGCACAGCGGATCGGGTGGCATGATCAGGGGGTTCTTGAACGACGGCACCATCGATTTCAAGTCGCATCAGAGCGTTGACAGCCTAGCCTTTGGACATTGCAATTACCCCTACCGTAACCTAGGCCGACCTTCTCAGATCAAGCTAAGGCAAACGCCCCAGGTATTCAAGGTTGAGGTTGATGGGAGACTATGTTTCGAAAGCGACAAGATCAGCATCCCACCAGGATACTACTTTGGTATCACAGCCGCGGCGGGAGACAACCCCGATTCGTTCGAGATCTTTAAGATGGTAACCATGACGGAGAATCTTGACGCCAAATACGATGCGCCTTCACAGCAGCAGCAGCAACAACAGCAACAACAGCAACAGCAATCAAACCAGAACCAGGCACAAGCACAAACGAGCTATGGTCGTAACCCCAATGCCCGGAATAACAACCCCAATGAAGCAGATGCTTTTGGTGACTCTATTCCCGATGCTGCTGCCACCACTTACACCAGCTCCGAGGCTCAGTTCGCAGACCTTCACAACCGCCTACAGAGCACTAACCAGCACCTCTCAACTATCTTCCGTCAGGTCGCAAGCCTGGGAAGTATCGGCGAAAAGCGACACGAAGAAGTCTCGAAAGCTGTCTACGATGTGAAGCAGATCCTGTCGAAGTTAGATAGACTCGACTCGCTCCAGAACGAAATCACCAAGCTACAACGGGACCTCAAAGACATGCGAAGCGATATCAATTTGAAGGTAAAGGACTCGGAACACGCGGTGAAGAGTTTTATAGGCACAAACCACGGTACCATGTTAGAGCACGTCGCGGTGCAGGCCGCCCCGAAGCACGGGAAGCTAATCTTCGTTATCATCGGAAGCCAGATCCTGATAGTGGCTGCTTACATATACTACGAGAGGAAGAAGATCATGCCCAAGAAATACTTATGATGGATCTAGACGGTTATTTGAGGCGGGGCTGGCGAGGCGAAGCAAGGCGCTGGGTACAACTTTGTATAAAATATCTGGACGTGGGATGAGGATTTGCATGACTGTGTTTTTTGCCTAGCGCATCAATGAGAATTTCAATGAGGCGGCGTTACCCTAAGCATTTGAAGCGTGACGATAAATCGATATTACCTACCCCCCATATGTCTCTTGTACCATATACCGAAAAGAAAAGGGACTTTATTGTTTGCGCGAGATATCATGTTTTCCCGCTAATTTCATTTTATAAAATATGAGGGATGTTCGATCGCAGAATCTGATAGGTTTAGGTAGTTATTCTCATAAAAGTCGATTTTTATATTAGGTACCTATAGATCGAACTCGAATAAAATCCCAACCGAAGCCTATGTAAAACGACGCCGTAAAGACAACGACTACATACATGGGGATAAGATACATCAATGATATACAGCAAAAGCTGGTTTCCCAAACGCCTATTCCCATCCATCCGTCCCTTGTATGAACTACGCGTAGGTAGTAGAAGATGCCTGGTAGGTTAGGTAGGTTATGCAAGTAACGACTGACGAAGTAAAACAAAAGAAACCCAAAAAGTACATGTGTATGTCCTCGCTTGCTTGCTTGCTTGCTTGCTTGCTTGCCTGTTTATTCATTTACTTTGTCCCATTATTTACTTCTCTTCTTCTTCTTCTTCATTTTTATTTTATTTGCCTTCCCCTTTATTTATTCCCCAGCGCATCAAAAAAACCAAAAAAAAAATCTTTTTCACGCATACCCCATCATCCGCAACAACGCAGGCCCCTTGGGCGCAGTCGTCAGGTCCTCGTGCCCGTCGGACGTAACGAGCACGCAGTCCTCGACGCGCACGCCGCCGACGTCCCAGTAGCGCTCGAGCGCGGCGGCGTCGATGTACCGCGCGTGCTCGGGCCGCCGCAGGAAGTACGCCTCGATGTACGGCCGGCAGAAGTAGATGCCCGGCTCGACCGTGACGACCATGTTGGGCTGCAGCGAGCTGCGGGCCGGACGTTTGGATTTCTTGTTGTTCTTGGGTTGGGTCTGGGGTTGGGAGATGGATTGTTGTCGTTGAGGGGGAGATGGCAGACGTCGGGCTTGGGGTTGGGGTGGGAGTGGGGGGTTGACGTCGCCGTTGATGATAGTGGCGTTGTTGTCGCTGTTGCTGCTGTTCTTTCTGCTTGCGGGCGGCGAGGGTGAAGTTGGTTCGGCTGTTGTTACTACTACCGGGGGTGGAGAGGGAGATGATCGTGGTGGGAGAGGTGGATTTATAGATTGTGTTGGCGAGGATTCCGTGAGTGCGGATGGCGATTGTGGATCCTGCGACGTGCTGGCGGTGGTGGTGCTGGTTGGCGACGAAGGCGTAGGAGGGGCGTTGCTTGCGGCTTGCTTGATCATGGCACGTACGGACTGAGGACCGATGGGCCGGCGCTTTCCCCACATACCTTCACCGGCGGGACGCAGGAGATCTCTGCTAAGAACGCTAGAGGAGAAAATACTGTTACTACGACTGACATACGAAGTGACGGGAACAGGGGGTTGTTCTTGTGGACATGATAGGGTAGGGGGTTTAAAGGGGATTAGAGGGTAGGTAAACAGGGAGGAGGAAACCAACTCGTGAACGTCAAGCCCGACGTGGTGGCCGAGGCCGTGCGGGAAGAAAGCGGCGCCTGTGCCGTTCTTAAAGATCTCTTCGGCAGTCCCATTGTGCAAGATTCCAAGCTCTAGTAGACCTTGAACGGCAATAAATGTCGCGTGCAGTTGCAGATCCCGGAAGACGACGCCCGGCTTAATACGCTGAATACACTCTTCCTGCATCCGGTGGACCAGTTCGTAGATAGCCCGAGCCTCCAAGTTGAACCGGTAACGTGGGCCCAGGGGGAGGGTACGTGTTATATCGCTGGCGTAGCAAGACCACTCGGTACCGGCATCAAGCACCACAAGCTGTCGCCCCGCGAGTGGCTCGCTGTTAGCCTCGTAGTGTAGTGTTGAAGCGTTGGGACCGGACCCAGCGATTATAGGGTAAGCTTGTGCTTTCGCGTTAGCCGCTCTACACGCCGCGGCGAAGGCGGCCTCGATTTCACATTCATTTTTCATGGTGCTCAGCTGTAGAGCGACCTTTTTGTGTGCCGCCGACGAGATTTCGTTAGCCCTACGGATCATAGCTATTTCGTAGTCAGATTTGATGACCCGCGCTTCATCCATCGCGGGCTGAAGCGACGTGACGTCGATCTTGAGTGACGGCCGTAGCTGTTCGAAGCCGTCAAATTTGGGCAGCTGAGCCGAGCGAAGAGCGTAGAGAGACTTGACCGTAGTCAACCGCGCGTTCAGATAAGCCGGAAGCTCGCCGATGTACTTGACGTCGTGAACGTCCGACTTTGTGATACATTCTTCCAGCGTAGGCGTCTTCCCGAACCAGAGTATCGTTGCCGGAGGTGTGAACGGGATCCATAACGTGAGTTTGTCCGCCGCAATATCGTACGTCACGCTACAGCCCGGAAAGTCGGCACCGGTCAAATAGTAGAAACTGGGTGCCCCGGTCAGTACCAGGGATATATTCAGAAGGAGGTTGATACCATTTGAAGGGTACCTAGGTAGACATACTATCGGCGTTGCCGGAATGGGGGCCCTTGGTCCGAATCTTCCCACGTTGATTCTAACTGACCCGGCAGATAAATAATTCCATTATCGGCTCCAAGCTCCTTAGCAACTTTCCTCGCATGTTGTTTGGCTAACCATCATCATTAGAATATATTCCTGAAAGGGTTATATAGACGGGGAAGAAAATAAAATAAAGAGAAATTGAGGATTATAGGACGTATATCTGGTATGAGTAGGCGGTGTAGTATGCTCAGGAAGATGAGATGGTGCAACCGTATATGTTGTATCATTCCGTCTAAAAGGAGGCAACCTAGGTAACGTGCAACATAGTATCATATCCTTCAGGGGCTAGCATCACCCCTTTCTCATTTAAACGATACATGCAAGTTGAACCGCGTTCATGCAATAGACTGAACTACCAACACTATATCGTCGGTGTGCAGCTTTGAAGGAATAGGATTGATGAATAGGATTGATTTAGTTAGGTTCGGAACTCACCAGGGTATCTCCTAAGGCCTTCGTCGGCTTTGGCTTCTAATTCCGCGACGTTAACTTCGATAGATCTATTCCCAATAACCTCTGTCAGCGGTATCCTAGACAGAAGCGGGATGCTGAGCATGACTGCGACGGCGGCAGAAACGGCGCTGTGCACCAAGCCCTTAGTTCTGCAGCGGAACTGATGAAGGTCCATCGTGGTAGACATTGTAATTGTCGGTGAAGCTAAGGTTAACAAGGGCTTTGGGATAGCAGTAGCACGTACAAAGCGTCAAATTCCTCAACGACAACCAGGTCGTGCTCGATATCTATAGCCTCCATCTTGAAAAAGTTTCCGAAGATTTAGTTGTTGTCTGACGAGTAGAGCAACGACAGCATCGTCGGTGGGGTGTTGTCAATGTTGTTGTACTAATTCTGATATATACCCCCGGGGCGTAATCGTATTATATAGTTGAGGCGGCTGATCTGATTCGACGAAACGAGCTTATGCAACAGCTTAGCTGGTTCAACCTGGTTGGAAGCTTGGGCTGATCTCACGTGGCGAAGCTCGGTTCGCATCGCAGCACCATACCTATAACTAATCTACACGTACCAAGCAAATGTTTCCCAAGTCATCTGTCTAAGGCCGTCGTGCAGCCCCTCAGGAGGCCCGAACATCCCCAACTTTATGCCCTATGCTCGGACCAGACTTATTTGTTCTTTTACTTGGTCACTAACTGGATCAACAAGAGGTATACCGACGTAACCCCTTGCTTTTCTTTCAAGCTCATTCGTCTCGGAGTTTAGCTCCGAGCGTTGGGCATATTGGGACCTAACTGCGATCGGTCTCTGATCAACGTCGTGGATGGATAGGATCGCTATGACGGTCTGCCCTGTATCACCAATAAAGACCACTTAAGCTAAATTCTTTTTACAAGGCGGCCCGTAAAAAGCACAAATGCCAAGTTATGTGCCTGATTTACACATCTTATATACATCATTGAGCATAATCTACGACGAGGTGCTCTCCCGCCGTGTCTCTAAAAGATCCTACTCATTGCCTCTGTTGAGGGTATAAGGCTCGCTTTGGATCATAGATGTCTTATATGACGTCCATACAACGAAAATTCGTCAGCTGCAATGTGTGACTGTCCATATTCGGCGTCAATCATCAATGTTTTGATTACCTATGCCAAACTCCAATCCCTTCCATCATCTAAGAAAGCATCCGTGGATGTCGCAATTATGCAGAGGGGTATCCTTTTTCTACACACAAACCTGGTCCATTTCATGCTACGGAAATGGCTGCCACGACGTATTAGCTAGTAACTCTTCCATCTCCCCCGGTTGTTGACCCCGTCGCCGCAGGAAGTGTAATTGCTCGGATTGAAGCTGGGGGTGGGGTGAATGCCGGTGTTCTAAAGTGTGCATTTGTAACAGCATCGGATCCGAATACATCTGCGCTGGGAAGTTGAAGCCTGGTTGAGCTTGCGACTGCATTAAGTACGGCGGCAGCGGTCCCATAAGTTGTCCTTCGATGCCATCATAGAAATTAGGTATATAGTAAGGAGCAGGGCCGTGGTGTGACAGGTCTCCTGGACTACCGTCCGGAACGCCTGACTGATGAGCACCGAAATCAAGCTGGGGTTGGTTGGGATATTCTAAGGGGTCGTCTGAGGGAAACATCACTGCATCTAACTGGTGGATCGGATTGCCCGTGCTGAATGCTGGATGTTGCAAATCTAGAGGGCTAGGCTCATGTAGGGCCGTGGCCCCTGCGGAATCCGGGGACGGTATCGGTAAATCTAACGGCGAGAATTGAAAACTGGAGGTAAATGAGCCACCAAATTCTGGCTGTGGTATGGAAGAATTGTCAACAGGGATAACTTGCGGGACGA